CATGTGTAGCCATGTCCACAGCGTGGGCTCAGGTCGACCGATGCGCGGGAGTGAGCGACATTGCTCACTGCATGTGCCATCGTTCGGCGGGTGTGCACGCGGGAGATGGCTGTGATTGGATGCACGGGCAGAAGACAAGGCTTGCTTGAGGTGGACTGTCTGTCTGAACACATTGTTCCGTACTGTGCGTGCTGTGCTGCTCGTTCAACTTTGAGAGAGCTCTTCATTCGACTGGCTGCCCTGCCTATGTGTGCGTCTGGAAGGCGTGGCTGATCCGGGCAGAAATGTGCCTCCCGCATTTCTGTCCGTGTTGGCTGCGTCTTCGGGACGCCCACATGGGCGGGCGGGAGAATCATGGCGACCAATGATACTGTGGACATCGACGCATGACGATTCAGACAGAAAGGCGAGCGTCAGCAAACATGCACGCGTCACGGCCGTTGAGTGCGCAGTGAGGTCGTCATCTGGTTCATCGATTGTTTCACTTCTTGGCCTGCGCCAGGGCCAGCCCCACAAACTTGCAGCTGCACAGATTTGGATTACATTGGGGCAGCAATCGATTCAATGATGAGAGCCACCTGGGGAGACTTGCCTGCACTTGAAGGGAGATTTCGTTGATGGCAGACACTTCCGCGTCGGAAGCTTCCGGCAGCTACCGTGGCACACGAGCTTCCCATCGCAACCTGACGTACACACACACAGGCACCATGGGGCTCCTCACCTTCGCCTTTCCATCCGTGCCTGCCTACTTTCGCCGGGGAGGTCGGATCCAGCTTTCGACGTCTGGTTCATTGCAAGCTGGTGCAGGAGCTGCTGGCCCACATCACTCAGCCGGCTGACTGCAAAGGGCTGATGGAGCAACAGCATCGCGAAGACAAGAAGCGGCAGGGCTTTCATCGGGGAGCGTGAAACGGGCTGGGGCCCTGGGCGCCCCCACATACGATCGCGGATCCAGCGAGATAAGCGACGGACATCTGACTGATTTCATCGACACAAGCTATGCAATTGTTCGAGCAAAAGAGTCACATGGAATGGACCTAGACGCTGGCGACTGACTGACCTACTGAATGAGTGAGTCTCGCATGAATGCGCCCATCCATCCACTCATTCTGTGATCTTGAATCTCTTGGCCTTTCTCATGCCCTCTATCTTGCTCACATCTGCCTCCTTCTGCCGCCGCGCATCGGCCAGCTCGGTCCTTCGCTTTTCCCTCATCTGGAAGCGATAGAAGTCCATCGCCTCTTCCCGCCGTTCCCGCTTCTTCCGCTTCTTGACTGCACTCTTGCGCGAGCCCTCACCGCTCGTCGCCGACGCTGTGGGACCCAGCGCCCGCTGAAATAAGCTGCCGCCCCTGCCGACGGCCGGCTGTGGTGCGCTCGATTTGGCCTTGTGGATGACAGTGCCGTCTGGCGCCTTGACGCTCCTGCCCCTGACGAGCGTGAAGCCCTCCTCGTCTGTGATAGTCTCGTCCCCATTCTGCATCAGCCGCTCGGCCTCCTTCTGTATGTCGTACTCATCCATGTAGGTGTCCACCTCCTTTTGCAGGGATCTCGGGTCACGATACGCGGCGAAAGCAGACACGATCCAGCCGGCCACTGAGCTCTCTGGGAGACCCAGGACGACCATCTCATGATCATGAGGCACTTGTCCACCTCCTTCGCGGTCGTCAGATGAGCAATGGGTCGCGTTGGCCAGCACTGCCTGGACGCCCTGAGGCTCCTCGAAGACGATGTGTGCCAGGAGGGCCACCGATCTGCCGTCCTCTTCCTTGCCGAGAGTGCCCTTGCTGCCCTTGTCCGTCAGCTTGACGCGCACAGACTCCACGTCGCCGAAAGCGCTGAAGCACCTTTCCAGTGCCGCCTCGGTTACGAATGGATCCAATAAAGCGACGAAAAGGGTCCTGTCTGCCGGGAGAGAGGCTGAAGTGCCGGATCGGTCGTCGTGCTGCTTCACATAGACCTCTCGGTAGAGGGAGGATGAGGATGTCGTGAAGGGAAGGCGGAGAACTCTGAATGAATTCAGCTGCATATGATTCTTTTCTTGCCACCACAGGGCAACGCCGCAGCAGGAGGGGTTTCAAGGGAACGCCACACAGCTCGCATTTTCGGAAGGCAGTGCTCATCGGGAAGGGTCACAAGCAGCTCCTCAGAACACTCATGCATGCACGATGATTCTGTCCTCGTCGTTTCCTCCGTTCCTCCGTCCCACCCGCAGGGCCCTGCTGTCACTGCGCTCGTTGTTCGTGCTCAATTGTTTGAGGCTGGGGTTGTTTGGCGTCCTGGGAGTCGCCGGGGCCGTTGTCTTTTCAAAATACGGTAACACATGCTTGACAGTGAGTCACACACAGACACGACCTCCAGTCATTTGGGGCTGGGGGCCCTCATGACGTTTGTACGTGGCTTGTGTGTGGCAGGGGGCATCACTGGGTATGATGATCTGCGAGCCGATGAGCGCTGGGAGCACCGCTTCTCGTTTCTCCGACTGTCAGCGTTTCTGTGGCTCCCTGCGGTGAGAGACAGTCACTAAACTATCGATAAGAGGGCAGAGAAGACAGAGAAGACGGTGGTTTTGCTGCATGAATATGATCAGGCCCTTGGGTGTTTTAACGCGACACTGGGGCTGTACGGCTCCTACTACCGACACAAATGCGTCACCATGGCCGATTCGTTCGTTGGCATGCCTGTCTCATGTGTAAGAACTCTCAAACAACAGGCCAACGATGATAGAGACCCCAGGCTGTTCCGCTTCTGTGTGTCTACATGCAGGTTGTGCTCTTCTGTGCCATTGTCTCCCATTATCTGGGAGACTCATTTCATGCCTTTCTGCGGATCATTGCGGGGATATCGCGGCCGAACGCGCTGGAAGCCGAGTCTGCCGACTGGTGGCATCGGAGTGTCTGCGAGACGTGGCTTTTCGCCATCATCATGCTGTGGACATGTCTAGGGGTTCAAGTGGCCGAGGGGATCTTCAGGTGAAAAAAGGGTGCACTGAGGCGTGTCCATTCCATACGGTTTCTCTGTTCGTCCGTCTCACGCAGCTGCCTGATAATCGTCTTGCAAGGGTACTATCCATGGAGAGATCCACGAATCTTTCGCCCTCTAGTCGGCGGCACACCTGCAAATAACACCACTACCACTAGAGCTGAGCGGAGTGGCGAGACACAGCTGCTGGTCCATCCCTCAGATGTCGCCAGGTCCTGCCGTGTGCTCAGCACCATCCCCGAGGGCAATCGAGAGACCTCGTCCTGTGATGGAGGAGACCGGAGTGAGGCTGGTGCTGCTGTCTCTCATGTTGTCATGACCGAGAGCATCCATAGGGAATGGGTTTGGCCCTCTGCCGAGTCACTGAGTGGTCGACACAGGAGACACCAAAATGAGAGGAGACACTGACTTGTGGATGAATGCATGACGTCTTCTGATATAATGATTTTTCCCGTTTCGTGCAAGGTGACGATGCATTGGAGCTATGAAGCTCTGCTACTTGAGCCGTGCCAAGCTGAGCTGGTCATGGCAAGCCGATTGAGACATGGGGGCACTGTGGTCCACGTGTCTGCGCGCATTCCTTGCCGCATAAGCTGGAACGTCTATTCATCAGCCTATCCATTACAGCCCATCTCGATAATGCAGTTTGCCTGCGACCCCTCCGACCAGTCAGCCGCCTCAAGTCAGTCAATCAGTCAGAGAGACAGTCTCATCACCAGGCCTGCGCCTCCTTCCTCTATATCTGATCTCTCTCTTGAGACGGTGCCTTGGCTATCTCCTCTTGAGACTTGCCAAGGCGTCCACGCTTCCTGCCTGCGGTACTCCTTCCACCGCGATGAGCTCTTTGCTGCACTTATGAAATGCAAGCAGGGAAAAGGATAAAGGGAACAGCCGATGTCTGGTGTCTCACCGAGCTTGCGCTTGGGGAGAGCTGCGGCTGGCGACGCTTCTGTCGTGTCTCGCCGGTAATGTCCACCTCTCGGATGCTGCTGACGGGCACCTCCGAGGTAAAGGAGTAATCATAGAGATTCAAAGCTACGTGACGAGTGTCCGCGCATGTGGCCTGCGGAGAAATCTGCAGGACAGAGACAGAGACAGAGAAGATGCCAATTACGTAAGTGCGCAACTCAAGAGCAGATCGAACAGGCAACGACGTCGAGTGGTCTGACCCTGCAGATCAGTGCAAGATTGATTGTTTTGGGTGCTCGTACGTCTGCGTTAATCAGAGGCCGCCTTTGTCTGTCGCTGCTGCTGCGCACGAGGTGGGCCAGGCCGCCAGCATGCAGCTGCGCCTTTAAGCAGACCGACCTTACCAGGACTCAAGACCGAGCATACTCGTCTCCTCTGCTCTCGTCAGTCTCTCCGTAGCGATTCATGGCTCTCTGCCGTGAGGTGTATTTGTATGAGGGTAGGGTAGGGTAAGCGTGACATGCCATCACACCACATGGGCGGCCGGGAGGGTGGGTGGGGTGGGGCGGATGGCTGCATTGCGTGTGTGCCCTCGTGCGTGTGCGCTGGAGCCTGGCTGCTGCGTGGATTGGTTGTTTCTCAGAGACATACAGTCCGGACCGCGTAAGTGGGTCAGTACATAGCTGGCCCACTTACGCGTCTGACCCGCTTATACGTACTACAGAGCTGACCCACTTGTTTTCCAGCGACTTTTGGAGTGATTTCTTGCTGTGAATGAATCACAGAGCCTCTCAGAAGCCCCTTGACTCTTTTTTTCTCGCTCAAAGTCACTCAAAACGACGAAAAACCTGTCTGTTCTCTCATTCATTCAATCAGTCCTTGGATGGCTGCGAGAGCCCTTGGATGTCTCCGAATGTTTGATTCATCGTTGATCTCCACACACGCCACGCAAAGACTCAACCTCGCCAAGCAAAGTCGCCTTTTCGTCGCAAATCACCATCAAAATGTCTGTATTTCTCCATGGAATCACTCTTTCATCGGTCCGCTCTTTCACAGAGGTGTGCTTCATCGTCTTGCGGTCATTTTGAGCCATGAATGGTTGGTTTGGATGGCTGATTTGAGTCTCTTTGGGACGTGACCCAGTTATCCGGTCCGGACTGTACCCACACACATCACATCATACATCCACGAGTCAGTCTACTATCTATAGATACAGGTGTGTATGCGGTGTGCACTGGGACCACTGCACTGCACTGCCGTGTACACTCCTACATACCCAAAGGACACTGCAGGGTCGGCCTCCGAGACTGGGGGAAGATCGCGTGGGGGCCGCGTTGCATGCATGCAGAAGGACACAGCCGGGCCCTGAGGCTCCTGCAATGAAGATGATGATGGGCCTCATCGTGGCCTTCGCCTTGACTACAGCCGTGCACGGTGAGAAGTCCAAAGCAGCACAAGACCAAGGCCGGGCTCTGCAGGCAGTCCGCTTCACCGGTACGACGTCGGCAAGCGAGAGCGCTGAGATTGATTGTCGTCTTCGTGCCTTGGTGCCCAGATGTGAGGACGACAACGCCCTGCGGCAATTCGGTGCTCCGGCCCTTGGACTTTGGCACTAAATTGACGGAATTCGAACTTGCTTACCAAATCAATCTTTTAGGCAATGGGCAAGGCGATGAGCATGGAGACCGCATTTGATTTGGAGAGAGAGTGCGGCGAGGACCAGCTGTGTGCCGGCCAGAAGGGGGGCGTAGAGGCGGCGATTCACGCTGTGAGCGGCCTGTTTGATTGTGGTGAGGGGGAGGCGGAGTGTGTGCTGCTGGGGGACGCGACGAACGCCTTCAACACCCTCAGTCGCCCTGCAGCGCTCTGGAATGCCCGGCAACTGTGGCCACGTGCGTCCCGGTTCCTGTTCAACACCTACCAGGGCCACGCTGCGCTCTACCTGAGGGGCGAGAAGGAGCCGCTGTGGAGTCAGGAGGGGACCACTCAGGGCGATCCGATGGCCATGCAGATGTATGCCGCCGGCACCCTGCCACTCATCCGCAGCCTCAAGGAGCCAGCAGAGCAGGGGCCACAGGTGTGGTTCGCGGACGACTCGTCTAAGTGCAGCTCCCTCGAGCGGGCGAGGGAGTGGTGGGACGGGCTTGGTGAGAGGGGGCCGCCGTACGGCTACTTTCCCAACTCACACAAGTCCATCTTGGTGGTGCGAGAGGGGTTGGAGGAAAGGGCGCGGGAGGTGTTTGAGGGGGTGGAGGGGCTGACCATTACGACAGGGAGCCGGTACCTGGGCGGCTACGTCGGCACAAGGGAGGGCCGCCATGCGTACGTGCAGCAGAAGGTGGAGCGGTGGGAGGAGTGCATCAGGGACGTCGCACGAGCCGCGACCAAGCGCCCGCAGCAGGCCCACGCCGTCATGACCAAGTCGCTGCAGGCCGAGTGGGACTTCGTCATGCGCGTCATCCCCGAGGAGAAGGAGACCTTCGAGCCTCTTCGCCACCTACTCGCCACGACGTACCTGCCCGGCCTCTGCGGCAAGTCCGTCGACGATGCCGAGGCCGCGGTCATGCTGCTGCCGGCGCGGCATGGCGGCACGGGGGTGCGCGACCCGACCGAGCGGGTCGCTGAGGCGTACGAGACGTCCGTCCAGGGCACCAACGTGCTCACCACCGCCATTCAGCATGGCACCCACCCAGACCAGCCCTTCGACCCGTTCATCCACCGCCTTCAGATGCACACGGCCATTCACGAGGGGAAGAGGCGGGCGGACGCACAGGCCAAGGAGCGCTTCGACGACGGTGTCGCCCGCCTTCCCCCAGGACGCCAACGAGCTGCTCGGCGCGCGCAGGAGGCCAAGACGCACGCGTGGCTCACGGCCATGCCGTCATGCAGCGACCAGACCGACCTCAGCGGCGATGCTTTTCGGGACGGCCTGGCGGTTCGCTACGGCTATCGCCCATCCAACCTCCCCTCCAGCTGCCCAGGGTGTGGTTCCGCCTTCACCCTCACCCATGCCCTGGACTGCGCGAAGGGCGGGCTGGTGATACAGCGGCACAACGAGCTGCGGGACGTGATCGGCGACGTCGGCAGGATGGCCTTTGGGGCAGGGAGCGTCCACAAGGAGGTGGTGTTGAAGGAGGGGGATGGGCAGGGGAGGGAGGGGGTCAGGACGGACCTGGTGATCCGAGGTGTGTGGGACCGCCAGAGGGATGCATCGTTCGACATGTGCGTTACTAACGCTGATGCTCCCTCTTACGGCAACCGCCCCACGCGATTCATCCTGGCGACGCACGAGCGCAGAAAGAAGAACAAGCAAGTGCGCGTCTGCGAGGACCTGTCCATGACCTTCACCCCTCTGGTCGTCACCGTCGATGGGGTGTGGGGGAGGGAGGCGGAGCACTTCTTCACCCGCTTGACTGAGCAGCTGTTGACGAGGCAGGGGTGGTCAGATAGGGGGCGAGGGCGGGTGCATGGGTGGCTGCGTGCTCGTTTGTCTGTTGCATTGGTGCGGGCTGCTAGCCTGTGTTTGAGGGGCGGGAGGCAGTCATGGCGTGGTGTTGGGGCGACGGACGGGGCTGGGGTGTGCTCATCGGATGAGTGAGCGTGCCCTTTGTGCATAGGCATATATGGATAGATTCATGGAGGCGATTTGGACAAGCGAGTGCATGGATGCCATCTGTCAATTATCTCTTCCCTATGGGCACCTCCTTCTCACTGCATGCGGCGTCGATGCCGCTCTCTTTCGCATCCAACTCGGCAGACGACCCAACGAGGGGAGGTGTGGGGTGATGCGCTATCAGCAGTAATAAAGCCGAGACCACGACGGCTGCCATAGTCGCCAGAATGGTCCACCGTGGCTTGCTATGAGCGATGCGTTGGGGAGATACAGATGGCGGCGGAAGGGGGATGAAATGGCCGAGATCTCTTCCACTATCGGTTAAGTGAATAAGCAGATGTGCAGCCATGCTTTTGAGCATCGTTTCCCTCCCACAGAGTGCGAGCTGCGAATGCGATCCTCTCAGCTACCCCACCCCTGGAGGCGTTGAGAGGCTTTGCAGCACTCTGGCTGAGTGTTGTGGTGCGCTGCACCTCAAGAAACAGGAGATCTTAAGATGGCGATGAATCTGCGACAATGTGTCTTGTCGATGATGGTGGCGGGGGTGCTTATCCATTCATTGGTTGCCGTTCCCCCTGCCCTCTGCTGGAACACACCCGCGCCACGGCCACTGCTGCACGGGAGATCAGCAGCTTCGCCCTCTCTTCAGGCCAACACAAGACAGCCTTGGGTCAGTCGGCTACCTGCCGGCCTTCATGAAGGCCGACAACAGCAGCCGACGACAAGGGATC